CCTATTTCCATCGAGCTGGAACCGATTATCCTATTTTCCATAGAAACATCACTTTGCATAGTGCAAATTCAAATAGTACAACCATTTTGTGGGACTCATTACCCACACTAACCGAGACCTATCTGTATTTCAAAAACTAACTTATCTCTTGGATGGGACCAACCTCCATGTGTAGGGTCCACTCTCAAGCAAAAAACATTGGGCTTAACAGATCTTCCTATGGTGAGTTCCACAGTCTTGGTGCCATCACTGAATTTGTCTCTCCTTGTCAAAAAGAGCTGATCAAAAGAACAATTGAATAGCAAAACTGGGAAAGTTGATAAAGGTAAAAAGGGTCCTTAAGCTAATCAGGTCTCTGGTTCATGAGAACCAAACATCAAATCCAGAACTTTGTATTAAAACAGAAATAAATTCTTTATGTTCCATAAATCCCTCAAGACCTGGCTTTGTCATCAGGCCTGGGGGTCCCAGAGGACCGGAGATATTCTAAGGTGGCTCTATTATTAATTTACTCTCTCCTGTACCTGATAGTTTGTATTCTGAAGAATGACTGTTTTATATTTTTTTAATAGTGATCATTTTTATATATTTATCATTTTATTTTATTGTTGTATGCCGCCCAGAGTCACTTGGTGTAAGATGGGCGGCTATACACATTTGATAAATAAATAAACAAATTTGCTGTCAGTTACCCCCAGAAGTGCAATGTGAAGGAACATATTCCTCATCAGTTGGTAGAGGACCAAGAACATCCTGGGAAAGGGACAATCACCCCGATGCCCTCAGTGAACTAGCTAAGGAACAGTTGCTCCAATACTCCTTCTCCTCTTCCCTCCCAGACTTCATTTTCTATTGTGTAAACAAGGATGGTTTTTTTAAAAAAAATAATGTACAACAGTGTTCAGTAATAATAATAGCAACAATAGAGGTACTCCCTTAAGATCTGTGTGCTGTGGGTTGAGTATCTTGCTCCTGCGAGCACACTAGACTCCCTTTTCCATCATCTGAAATGTCTTTGAGGACAGGCCTACACAAAGGGCATGACAGTAGTCCAGGATTACCAAGACAGGAGTAACTGAGCCCAAGTCTGTTTCTCCAGTTAAGGAAATCCAGCTGGAAAAATGACACCTGAACGTCCATTGTATTTATGTTATCATTTTACTTACTGAGTATAATTCAAACCACTTCAAGAAACTTTTAAAATTAAATGATAAGGAATTTATCATTGGGCTTACGCTGTTTCTTGAATTCTCCAGTTCTCAAATTATAGACTCTGAATTTGCTACAATAGCTTGTCTTCATTCTGTGCAATGACTTAAAATGATCTTCCTTCCCCACCCCACCTAAAGTAGAAATAACCATCAGACAAGCATCTTGGGGAAGCAAAACTCCTCCAGGATCATTTGCTATAGATTTTAGCTTAGAAGTTATTATTTCTCATTGGGATGTTAAATCAGGACAACTTTAATTACATGAGAGTCTTTTTATAAGTTTGCATTGCAGTGGTTGGTTATTGGCCACTGATGACATCTAAGTAAAAAAAAAGTTTATGCAAATCCAGAATGGGACTTCTTGGGAGGAGGAAACATAGCGAACTTTTTACCTCTCCTCTCAGGATCTCTGTCCCAGTGAACACTATCGCCACAAAAGGCATGGGCACAATGTACAACAGTTGCATAGGTTTATTGGATCAAAGCTTGAATACAGATCTCCCTTTAATACATTTCTCAGTTCCAACACAACTAATTAGAGGAACATATGCAAGGACACAAGGAGATGACCTTGGAGAAGAAACCCAGAGGTCATTAAGGAAACACCAGGTGCAGGAGAAACATGTGTTAAGTCCAGAGAGGTGAGACTGAGACTCGCCTCCCAGCCACCTCCCTGGGGTATAAGAGGATGGGACGGGAAAGGAAGGGAAGACATGCACAGACCTACATGATTCTGTTTTTATAGCCTATTTCAATAAAATATAATTCTAGTCATCCTGTAGAGTCAGTTACCTGATCTGATCTACCGCGCAGGGCTGAAAGAGAATATAAATATGTCATCATGCCAAATATTGGACAATTTTATATGGAATATATCTGCTTGTGCAGTACTTTTTTAAAAAAACAGTACACAAGTGTGCAATCTTTTGATAATGATGGCCACAATATTGGGGGAAAGACAAAAGCAACAATGGGTACAATGAAGATGCAAAATAGCAAAACTATTTCAGTTATATAGGAGGTATTGGGGAGCATGGGAGAGGGTTTGTTTTTAATTGGTTTGAACCTATTTTTATACTTGCACTGCCTCTAAATGGTAGGAAGTCATACCCTAATTTTTGGCAGAGCATCAGCAGTATTCAGCAGCATGATTGGAGGGGTCACCAGAGTCACAGAAGAAGGCTCATAAAAATAGTATGACTGTGTGGTTAAAGTGTCAGACAAGGACTTTGAAATGTTTCAGTGCAAATCGATATTCAGCCATGAGTCTTTGGACCAGATGCAGCCACACTGGATGATTATGAAACTAAAATAAAGCTGTGGTCAGCTGGCTAGGCAAGAAACTACAAGGATAGATTTCCAAAGATATCAAAACTTGGGTAAGTGAATTTATTGTAGCAAAGGAAATGAAGCTATTAGAAAATCATTCAAATGACTGCTGTGCTTTCATATGCAAGCCCTATTTATAGTCAAATCCAGGATCAGATTCTTGTGTCCCTTTCACCCACACCATGTACTACGTACTAGAAGCCACTCTCTTTAAGATAGAAAAGTTGGTTTTCACCTTCCTCTTATTTTGGTAATGAATTGATCTGGTATCAGTCTGTTTGTTTGTGATCTTGTGACAGCTTGTTCTTTCAGCTGGACAGATTTAAAAATGCAAATAATCTAAAGGAATTTGGAAACTGTACTATCTAATAGAGGCAATGGCTCCAATCCATGAAATTCTGTGATTCTGAGAAATTCAGAGAATTGCCTGTGATTTAGGAATCTGATTGTTCTAAACCAAATCTTGAATTAGGTGTTTGTTTCAATATTTTATGTTTCAGAAATTTGAATGGTAGTGAGTTATTTAAAAAGTACTGTACTTGATATGTCATAAATTTACTCAGCTTTTACCTATTGCTTACCAACTCTCTGCTGTGAACTGCAAAATAATGTTTTAAGGGCCATAGTTCAGAGTTACACAAAGTCTTCCCTAAAATAGCAAGAACAGCATTTGGCATTTATAGACATAGAATTTCTGAAAGTTTCAAAGCACTTCACAGAGATTCTCTCAGAAATCCTGGCAACAGTCCTTTAATCATGTCTAAAATCATATTACGGTATTCTCCAGATTGCACATAATGGTCTGAAAGTCAGAGATAAGGAGAATGCCAGCATTATTCAGGGTAAATGGGACATTTCTCTCTTTCTCTTACACTTTATCAGGAAGCAGTTATACTTTCTTGATCCCTTGGTCAGTCTCCTCTAGGTAGAGGTAGATACATACTGTAGGCATGCCTAGACCTACTCTAGCTAGATAATAGTTACCTTCTGGTCCTGTCCCATCCATTTCCTCTAAGTAGATGTAAGTGGCTAAAATGGGCAAGGCTCAAGAAATCAGGTGGATAATCAACTATTCCTCTTCCCTAAACATTCGATCTACATTCTTAAGCTGCATTAACTGAAATGGATCCCACACAGCTGGAGCAGATAATTTTTTAAGGGCCTTCCTGGGAATTAGCTCTGTGATGAAAATGTATTGCACATGTTTTTCAACCCTTCTCATTCAGTCTGATGGGAAATAAATTGGATTTTAAAGTTCTCTCATTGGAGATGAAATTTTCAGTGAAATCTTAATGAAATGGTATAGGGTTCTTGCACTTATTTTTCTTATAGGTTGGATAAGGTGTGTCTCAACTTCCATTGCACAATCATCTTTCCAGCATTCTGAAACCTCCCTGGCTTTCCCACTTGGATTAAATCCAAAGGGAAGATATCATGAGGATTTTTTTTCATAGGGTATTATCAGATTGGGAGCTAGAGGCAATCAAGAAGATTGCAGAATTACTAAGTAATATCATAAAGACAACCAAAAGAACTTCGGGTGAAGTTTTAAAGCATTCTTATTTTTTTTAAAGCCATTTCACAGGGGAAGAATTTGGGAGAAAGCATTTGAAGGCCTTTTTTGAGCAAATGTCTCCTAGTCTAGGGCTCAGACGTTTCTATTACAGTTCTGATACTGCTCCTCTACTTAGCTGTCTCACACTTACTTTATAAACTATTTTTCCCTGAGCTTTTTCAGGCAATATTTTAACTTCCTAGTATTGATATATTAAGTCCATTGACATCTGTTGACCAAGTCAGTCTGATAACAGTTGACCTTAATTCAGTTGCTCCTAGTGAGCAAATTCCCCCAATCTTCAGGAATAATGAAGAGCATAGGATGAAAATAGCAAAGGAAGGAACAAGAGCAGGAGTGACATACTGTCATCTTACATTAGATACTGTGATATTCCTAGTAATATCTAGTTAGCTACAAGGACAACATGATGCTGCATTAGATGGATCATTATTTGGATTCAGAACATTCAGGAGGCCTCACATTTTCACTTTTGAAAGTGTAGGATGTTTGGTGACACCGAAAGCATCAGAAAAGGGGTGTATACGTTTTTATGAGCCAAAGTAAAACCTGGACAAAAACTATATTTAATTCAATCTCATTTACATGTAAGCTATACTAAAATGGTTAAATAAAGTTTATATGATTCCTTGCTATTTATTTAGTAATTTCCACCTACAGTCGAATTGAAAATAACAATTTGCCAGCACCTTTCTGAGGGACTCTAAGCCCTATGTGCAGCCTTGGGATCTCAAGTTCGGCGCCTGATGTAGAGCATGATGTGAAACACTTCTGCTTTCCACAATGCCAGTTGGGATAGGTGAATCTGAAGTCTTCCAACCATTTGATGTAATGGGACAAAACAAATCACATGTGGTGTAATCATGATCTTTTGCTTTCTCCAGCACCCATATCCAACAGAGGATGAGAAGAGACAAATAGCAGCACAGACAAATCTCACGCTGTTGCAAGTCAACAACTGGTGAGTAAAGACCTTTTTTTTCCTCAACTGCAATAACCAAGTGGTTATTCCAAGTAGTTTTCCTCAACTGCAATAACCAAGTGGTTAAAAAATTTGTTTTCTGCCCAGAGAGCTGCCTTCTTTATTATGCTGATCACTTATGTAGCACCAAAAATATGGGTTAGTATAACAATTGCATAGGCTTAGTTAAAGGTGTGTAGATCTATAAATCATGCCTATCATTAAAGTAGAACTTCAGAATACTTCATCCTAGATCCATCTGCTGACTAGAACTGACTGTTGATAGGAAGTTCTAAGGTTCATGGGCTCTCCCTTCTAGCATTTTTCTCTTAACCTGGACATGGACTAGACTTCTTTTCCCCTAAGAAAGGTCCCTCTGTGGTCAGACAAATGGCCACTTGTCTTCTTGCAGTGCCTTGGAAATGATGTCATATCACATTGCTTTAAAACATTCTGGGCAACCCTTTTTCTTTTAAAGTTTGCATTCCCTCCAAGGGGACCTGTTGAAAAGGCCATGTATATGAACATTGAGTGGTGCCAGAAGCCAGACTGGATGGGGACACCCATTTCCTTACTGACACTTGTTTTTTTCCCCTTTCTGACACCCTCTTGTCCCCTTTTCAGGCTACTGGGAAAGAACCGAGCTCCCTAAAGGTCTCAACAAATATTTCAATGTAATTTATGTATTAAGCTTGAAATTAGCCCAGAGGCCTCATGCAATACCTTTAAAGTTGGTCCATGAAGTACAGCTATTGAAAAACTTCAGTCTTCACTCTGGCTTTTTCTACAAACAGTTTTAAAAGTGAGAAGGAAAAATATCCCGAGTTATATCAATAAGATAAAGTACCATGCCTCTTGGTAAAAAGCAAAAAAATCTCCCCCTGTAAAAATATTGGGTCCCATTTTCACAGGAGGATCCATGTTTATGATCAGAACTCAAAGACATGAGAAATTCCAGATCCCACCACATGGTGGCAAGTCCAGTCAGGGTAAAATCTATATATAATCAGAAAAATTGCCTGTGAGATTCCAGCCCCTTTGTGTGGGTTTGGCAATCAAAAGTAACCAAACTTGTAGTCATTTCTATCTGAACAAAAATTAATTTGAAGACCATGTTTAAATTATTTGAGGAACCAGTACTGAATATTTCAAGCTTTTGAAAGACCCTTGTGTGAATCTGATTTTTAAATTACAATCTTCCAATCTTTACAGTAATAGTGGGATTTACTTGTGGGTAAACATGCATAGGCTTGTGTGGTAAAGTTTCTTTTTTTACATTATTGTAAATGTTTTCTTTGTATTGGGCTGATACTTGTGGCTCATGCTATTATTTGTGCAACATTTGCAAGACAGATTTGTTTTCTTCTGAGGAGGAAAAAATCAGCTCTTTGTGGCATGCAAATTCTTTACATTCCAGATCTGCATTAATTCAATAGCACCCTCTACTGGCTACTTATCATCAGCAAAGAGCAGCACTGAAAATAGATGTATTTTTGTAACTCATATTTATATCCTGCCTTTCGTTAAGGAGCTCTAGACAATAATCAAAACATTACAGTGCTTTCCACTGTTGGAGAAGATCGTCCCATGCCCGAAAGCCTCTGGAGCAGTTGCCGGTCAACGTAGATAGTGTTGAGATAGGTGGACAAATACCCTTACAGGTAGTCCTCGTTTAGCAACTGCTTCGTTTAGTGACTGTTTGCAATTATGATGGTGATGAAAAAGTAACTTTATGACCCATCCTCACATTTACAACCTTCACATGTCTGTAAAGCAAAGGAAAGCTGAAGTAAGATTATAAGCACAGTGGTAGTTTCACTTAGCAACCACTTTGCTTAATGACCAAATTGCCAGTCCCAATTGTGATTGCTAAATGAGGACTACCTATATAAACAAGAATAGGAATAGTTTGATTTGGTATCAAAGCTATTATGCAAAGCAGGAGCAAGGGAGGGACCTTCCAGAGGGCACAGAGTCTGACATTCTCCATGTGCTGTTGGGAGGAAGACTTGGATGAAATTATCTTGAAACTTAGTTTTGAGTTCAGTTTGCTATGAGTGGTTGCTTGTTTCTAACTCTAAGGATTAAATATAAGTTTGCAAGGCTGTCTTTCTTAAACAGTAGCCCTTGATGCTTTGAGCAGATCAAAAGAATAAAGAAATGCAATAGTTAACATTTTATTTTAATATGCCATCCTCTTTCTGGGAAGGTTTATCAATGCCCGGCGACGTATCTTGCAACCTATGCTTGATGCAAGCAATCCAGATCCAGCCCCCAAAGCCAAGAAAATCAAATCCCAGCACCGGCCAACACAGAGATTCTGGCCCAACTCCATTGCAGCTGGGGTTCTGCAGCAACAAGGAGGCAACCCCGGGACTAATCCTGATGGTAAGAGTCACTGGATCAATGCAACGTTTAAGTGTCTTTGTACTGAGGTCAATACTCTATTCTCAGTCTGTTAGATGTGTTAAGACCGTGGCTCCAAAAGCCATACCAGCTGGCAATTCTTGGAGTGACAACAAGCCCCCAACTTATCTAGAAAGTGACAGATTGGAGAACTCTGGAGTAACCCTAGCCCTGAACGGAGCATAGACCAGAATACCATTTAAATAAAGAGACCCAGTGCAACTCAATGGGGGGGAAAACGATAGGTGAGCATATTCAGTCTGCTGTCTAGTAGCTACCTATTGTTGGGCAACTTAAACCTCTGGATTCTCCCTTCCTTAAACTGCACCTGGATGGGAACCTTCCAAAAAGAGAATTACCTTCAAATAGAGGGCTGTCCTCTGTAAAGCATTCCATGTAACTATCCTGGAGAAATGATTGGTCACATATGATAGAGTTTTAAATTACACTGTGTGCTCCCTGCAGCTCCCAGTTACCGCACTGGACTACCGTTGTGTTAATCTTCTCAATAAGCCCTCTCTGATCAGCTTCTGAGAATATTATTGCAGGATGGGAAATGATCAAATAGCACTTGAGCTTCTGGTTTCAGAACTTCACCAGTTTTAGATCTGGATGGATGGGTGTATTTGACATATTCATAACTGCCTTTGCTGAAAAGAGCTCAACACTGTTTTTTTCCTCTAGTTCTATCCTCGCAAGAACTTCTTAACTGCAGTACCTGGCAGTAGGCAGTAGCGTGTCTCTCTCACAGAGGTGGAAGATGACTCTTTAGAGAGCAATAAATATTGCTTCCCTTTGTGCATTATTTCTTTTACTGTACTTAAAACAAACACAGTAAATCAGCCCCACTGCACTGGGGGACCTTACTTCTCAGTGGGTTCCTGGACGTCTGCCCCAAAGTCTTACTCAAACAGCATCATCCAAGTGCCTATCCTATCACCTCTTTGCCTTTCCTTCTAGGCTCCATCAATATGGACAACCTCCAAACCCTCTCCTCCGATAACGCCACTATTGCTATGCAGCAAGCCATGATGGCGGGTCATGATGACTCACTAGATGGGACAGAAGATGAGGAGGAAGATGAAATAGAAGAGGAGGAGGAGGAGGAGGAGGAAGAGGAGGAGGAACTGGAAGAGGATGCTGAGGAGCTCCAGACAACTAATGTTAGCGACCTTGGCTTGGAGCACAGTGACTCACTTGAATAGAGGTTTATAGCCAATGGTGGAACAGTCACCGACTGGAAAACCGTTGAACCTGCTTGCAAAACTCATTGGCCTGAATTGTAGAGAGCGCTTGAACTTTTGATGAACAAGCCCCACATCCCTTTAACAATATAATTCAGATTCAACAACAGTACCCTTTTCAGATGTCCTGCTTGACCTGCTTTCAGTTGCAGGAATGGACGTGGAAGCACACTGAAAGTCCTGTCAAGTGTGCAAGCTGGTTATTTAAGTGAAGGACATACGTTTACAAGGCACATATTGTGGCTAGTTTCTTCCCCACTCTCTCCCGCCTTTGTTTTTGATAACAACCACAACAAAAGTGTTTTTAGAGTAAGCTGTTTTCTGTATGACTGAATGTTTTATGGATGTTCTAATGCAATGCCTTTTTTGTGACACGCAGTTCAGAGGCACGCCTGTTTTCATTTTAATGGCTTTTATGAGAGATTTATAGATGCAGAAGAAGAAGAGGAGATGGATGGTTTTTACAGAAAAAGAAAAACTAGAAGGGAATGGGTTATAAAAATGTAGGTGGAGAAAAACCAAACATTTGCAAATTGGCAAAAATTCAACAAAGGAGCACTGAGAGTTTAATGCCCTTTGCAGGTGGATGTCTTGTGGGTTTTCAGATATGTCTTCAGGACTCAGGTGAAACCCCAAACCATACAAAAAGGGTCTGTGCTTTGCAATTCTTGTGACAAATAGGTAATGCCCTGTGATCTGAACCTTTTTGGAGGAGAATCATTTTTGCCTTCTGAATGGAACGTTGCAACACTTTAATGTCCCAGGCTGATCCCTTGGTATAGCATGTGGTGTTAGCTAACCAGAAAGAATGCCCCTGAGTATTTTAATTGTTTAGAGGCTCATCAATACAGAAGTCATAATTAGGGCTTTATGCATTGGTTGAATACAAGCAGGTTCAGATTTCTGATATTTGCAGGCTCATTTGCAAAGCAGGAAGGGATCAGTGGCATAAAGAATTCTTGTATTTTCAGACAAGGTGGAACATTTTGGAGGTAAGCAGAACAGCTATCCAGCTGGGGTGCAGGAAATCATATTTTCACAATCTCATTTCCCAAGAACTCCTCTCTTCCCTTTATGTTGCTCTCCAGCCTACAAACTCTCAAATTAAAAAAACATACAAAATCAACATTCAGCTGGACATATTACAGCCCTTTAGGAATGGGATTTGTAATAATGTTCCCCACTAGCCATCACTGCTAGTCTAGATCATAGGTTAAGCCTACAAGCAGAGGTTGATTTAGATCTCCACGTGGGCATTGTCACAGTACAGTGAGTTAATTGCCTACAGCAGTGCATGAAAAGTAGATATGGGCTCCCCAACATTTTTCATGTGAGCCATTTGGAATTGTGAAATTATGGAAGGGGCACACTTGCAGAAAAGCTACTGGTGAGCAAGTTCCCCGTAGACAGAGTGTCAGAAGAACTCTGAGACAGAAGGGACATAACCTTTGGCAAAACACTGATTTACCAGCATGCTCTCTGCCACCCCCACCCCAAGGGAGATGGTGTCTACAATCCCCATTTGCCTTTATCTTTGGAAGGTGGGCATCCTTCCAAACAAGACACTGAGTGGCAACTGCCCCTCCCGTGCTTAGAAAGCTAAGGGGTCCACAAGCATTCTTAGAAATAAAAATGGGGCTGGCTGGTGGCCGGCACTTCATTTTGCATCATGCCAGTTCCTCGTTTTTTTTTT